GCCTATCTCTCACTTGCTTCAGTTTCGAATGCAGGCCACACACCTGTGTGCATCTGACTGGATGAATTTAATAATATTGGTAGGCAGCTGCAAGGGCATTGGGAAATGTGTTTTTGACTTTGATACACCAGAGTTTGGGACAGATTAGGGGTGAACTGGAGTTTTCTAGGAAGACTAAGCAATTCATTCAGGACTAGTTCTCTCTCACATGATTGGGAGATAGTATGTAGAAGCCATAGGCTGCCAGAAAAGTGGTCTGCCAGCCTCTTTCCTTTCCATTAGTGATGACTATGAACCTCACTGTCTATGGTAATTTTCCAGTACCTGTCATGATAGCCACCAGATTTTTAAAGATTATCAGTGGTCTATAATGCTACTACCCAAAGAACATATGTGATAGATAAAATTTATAAAAGGTAGCATTTTATTACCATTATTCTCACTGAATCTGGTTTTAATTTTAATAACCTCAGAAGGCACACCTAGCATGAGGCTTTGAATGTGCCATTTCATATCACTCACCAGTTTTGAAGCATTCTTCTTTTTTAAAAAAGAAAAAGTCAAAACTTCTCAGTTGACCTTGGAAGAGATCACCCCATGGCACAGTGTTAAGGAAAAATAGTATCCACGAGACTCTGTTCAGGGTGCTAGGGGATACAGCAGTGAACAAACAACAATCTGATTTATATGGCCCTTAACTTCTATCATAAAATGTTTGTTGCTTATGATAAAGCTAATAGATGTGGCTAAGAAAGACATCTGAAAAATCATAACCTCGTATTCTATAATCCAAGGTACTTTGAGAAGAGGTGGAAAGCAGACCTGGAGAGGTGGAGGAGGTGTTCTGAAAAGTTTTGCTGAGACACTATAGCAGGCATGGTTAGGTCCTTCTCATATCCCCTTGGCATACTCAAAAGATCACTTGCAGGTATTGCCCATAAATGCCAAAGGATTCCTGTGTCCCTGCCTGGGGACTTTTCTGGCTGTACTGCCCGCCAGGGCATCTATGCCCTAGGGGTTCTACCCTTGTTAAAGGATGGCCCCTCTCAAAAGGTAAAATAATGACTTTCATACAAAAAATACAATTAATAGGTGTCAAAAATTTATTTAACTCGATAATTAATAGGAGAGCTAATAAAATGTTACAATCGGCTCAAAGGAGAATTCAAAGTTGTACATATATATATGCAGAACAAGGATCCTGAGATGAATTTACAAATAAATATTTTCTTTGTCCATTTTCTGTTTGTAAGAATACCTGAGACTGGGTAATTTACAGACAAAAGAAATATATGTCTCATACTTCTGGAGGCAGTTTAGGCAGTCACACCTGGCAAGGGCCTCATACCACAACATAAGATAGATGGCATGACACAGTGGAAGTACATGCAAGAGTGGTGAATAGGTACAGGCAAGAGAGACACAATACGAGGGGTAATCTCACTTATAACAATCCACTCTCATGGTAACTCTTCCAGTCCTGAGAGAACGAGAACTCCTGGAAGACTGCATAAATCCCTTCATGAGCGTGAATCCCCTGTGAACCAAATGGCTCTTACAGGTCTCACCTTTAAAAAGTCAACACCATTCCATTGGGGACCAAGCCTCACCATGAGTTTCAGTGGGGACAAGCCATATTCAAACCATAGCAGGTACAAACTGGTCAATATCTACTCGGCAACAGTCAATTGTGCTCACCGCCCTTCTATAGACAAGAATCATTTGCAGTACTATGTATTGTCTAAAACTCAGAGTCATAAATAGCACAAGGACAATGACATGTGGAGATCACCTGGATAGATGAGCTGAATGAGAAAAACGCCCATATTTTTTCACTAATTTCAAATTGTTCACAATTTTTCTGATGTTCTCAACCAATGAGGGATAGCATTTGGTGGCTATATATGACAGTTTCCCTGTCTCTCAATGAGATAATGCTGAGATGAGTTCCACACAACTTCTCAAAGTGTCCTCAATGAACTCAAGCCCTATTTACCCACAGCAGTAAATTATTTATTAACAAATTTGGAAGGGTTTTCTCTCCCTTCTCCTGCTCACTTGCCCTATCCCTCAAAGTACTTCCTGGAATAGCCTCCCAAATAAACTTACACCCAACCCTTGTCTCATGGTCTGATTTGGAAAAAATCCAAACTAAAATAGGCTACAAGTTCATGCACTTAAAACACTGCCACAAATTGAAAGAGATTTCTGTCTTCAGAGCCTATTCTCAACAGATAGGAAACAGAAAGTTCCATGAAAGGATCAGCCCCTCTCTCCTCCTCTCCCTCCCTTCCACCACCACCATCACTACCTCCTGGAAGGTTACTCCAGCTTACCAGGATCATTTCCTAATCAAGAGCATTTAACAAAGTTAACTCAAGGGAATACTAAGCTTATCTATGTATGCTGGTGTTCTGGGAGCTCTGAGGCTTGTAGAGCTCATGGGCGTCCTAAGAGTAACTAGCTTGGTTGAACTTTTGCTGCTTCTGCTGCTGCTCCTACTTTCACCAACATGTCCAGCCTGGGACTGAAAGCCCACGATATCCATTCACAAACCCAAGATGGGGAAAATGTACATTAACATGTGGAAAGGTATTTCCTTAGACCACAGTGCTGATTAGAAAAAGAGTCAAATACCATTCTGAAAAAGAAGTCTAAAACACCTTTATTTTTTAAATTGTGGTGACTATGTTGGGTGGATTGGAAAGACATGAGTCATATTGATTCCACTCTCAGACCTCGATGCCTCTCTGGACCCTTCTGTCTCTGAATTCTATGTTAGATATTAAATAATGGTCTTTGAAAGCAGAAAAAAATCCATTCCAATAGGGACTACCAACAGAGTTCTTAGAAACCTGCCAGAGTGGTTAATTTTGTAAGTAGAATCAATATCACCTCTATATCCACCCAATGTAAAGGAAGCAAAAACACAAAGGCCCTCTCCCTTCTTTGAGGGGGGAAAATGTGTTGAGTTTGTGCGATTGTGTTTAGGATACAGGTCTAACATTGAGCATCTAAGTGGCATAACTTCAAAGACTCGGATTCTGGCTGATGGAGATAACCTATCTTAAGTTTCTGCCCAAGTATCTAAGTCCTCAATTACCATTAAAAGACAAGTACTGCCAGATGTAGTGGCTTACACCTGCAATCTCAGCATTTTGTGAGGATTGCTTGAGTCCAGGAGTTCAAGACCAGCCTGAGTAACATAATGAAACCTCGTTTCTACAAAAAATAAAGTAGCCAGGCACATGCCTATAGTCACTACTCAGGAAGCCAAGGAGGAAAGATTACCTGAGTCCAGGAGGCTGAGGTTGCAGTGAGCTGTAATCATGCTGTTGCACTCCAGCTTCAGCTACAGGTAAGAGCCTACTTTTAAAAAAAAATGAACCTCAATGTGTTCTCAGTGGGTTAAAACTGAGTGCTGAAATCATTGAGTCAGTGAAATCTATACAAGGTATATAGGTTATGGATTGCCTCAAAATCATGTGGTTGTATATAAAAACCAGGTTATAGAACCAAATATGAGGTGTGATCCCCATTTTGCACTTGCATGTAGCTGATATCTATGTGTTGACAGGATGTGTATGATAAGGAGAAAGAGGTGATGAAAGCAGAGAGGTGGAAAGAATGTAAGGGTGTGGAGGTTATATGGGGAGTATGTGTGGAGTGTGAAAAGGAGTGTGAAGCATGTGGGGATATGTGCTCACACATACAGACATGTGTACATGCATTTATAGTCCTGGACTCTACCATGGGTGCCTGGACTTACAGAGTCTAAAATGTTGGTGTTGAAACCAAAAAAGAAGCCATAGGGTTCTATCCATTTCACCCTCTATCTCGCTCCTCCCAAGGAAAACTTGATGATGTTTAGGAACAAGGACTTCAGAGTCAGACCTAATTTGAAATCCTAATCCAATGCTCATTGACTGACGGATCTTATCCTCATGACATCGCTTTCTCATCTGTCAGAGGCTATTTCCTGGCATCCACAAAGGACTGAACACAGTGTAACCTAGGGCAGACAGTCAATAAGTAGTAATTTTAAAAAATTCTTGCCCATTTCTCAAAACTGATCTCAAAAGGAGATTTTACCTCAGCAATAAAATAATCTTTAGCAAAGCAATTTTAAAAAATACATTCATATCCTATGGCTTATTTATTTATCAGGTTATTTTGGGGGCTGAGGGAAGCATGAGGATAGAGTTCACAAATAATTCTGTTATTTGTGGTTCTTGGACTAATAATAGAGTGAAAACATGAAATTCTCAAGAGAATGTTTCCCAATGGTTTCAACCAACAAAACCTTTAGAAACATTCTCCCTTGTAAACAAATAATTAACCAGAGCTGGCCACCTTCCTGTGCTTTGTCCTGTGCCTTGAAAAAGGAGGCTGAGAATTGGCCAACACTCCCAGTAGGACTTGTAGAAAGAGAGTCAGGCTATGAGCTGGGTGTAGTTTGTCCTGTGGGGTTGAGGACATGTTTGAAAACTCTGTACCTTTTTGTCCTTAATACGAAAATCAATCATAATTTTCAGCATTATGGGGTCAGGTGTAACAATTTGAGATTTAACAAGTAACTATTTTGAAATTATAGAGCAAATATGTAGTATTTGTAATGAGACCTATGTCACTTTACAAATTATCTAGAGTGCTTCTTAAAACAAAAAGTTATTCTGAAATCTTACTCACAGTCATCCAACAATTTCCTCTCCTACTATAAGAAAGTTCCTGCTAAAAAGTCAGAGACAACCACTAACCAATTTTATAAGAATATTGCAAAGTTGGTGATTTTCTTAATGATGAAAGTAGTCTACTGCCGTTGTTTTTGCTTTTATTGTTTTCTTCTTGTAACTTCTCTAGCTTTATCCTGCTGATGCCTTTCTAGCTGTGTAGTTACTGCTGCATGAATAGTGTTGGAATTCTCACCACTTCCAACTGCTAGCTTCTCCATAGGCAAAAACTTGACTCTCTAAGCAATGACTGGCTACCTCAAGAGGATCTCAGGCTCGATTAGGAAGCTTCTTGTGGTTATCACAGCTGACATTACCATTGTCCTCCAGTATATTCATGGGCAGAGAAAACATAATGGTGGAATTCTTCTCGGAAGCTACAGTGGTCAGGGTCTGTAGGTGGCGCAGTTGGAGGGCCATGGGAGACCCAGCCTGAGCTATGGAGGCTGACTTCAGAGATTTGAAAGCATTCATCAATCCTTCTGCTGCAAGAACCTAAAAAGACACAAGTTAAAGAGTTCAGAAATAAAAGAGTACTACTGTGACCTGTGCTTTCTTTTTCTGAGTCCTTGTTGATACTTCTCTTCCAAGACTCCAAGTTGTCACATGAGTTTCATCTATTTACTCCTTTAGCAAGGATAAGAGATTCACATCCTAATGAGATGACAGAAGTTCAAGGTGGTGGCAGGCAGCAGGGAGGGGTATGTTACAAATTATAGATTCTAGGATTTCATTTTTAAAGAAAAATTAAAATGCTATCTTTAATGCAAATGAATACTTGGCATCTACCGTACTGATGCCTTAAAGCACTTTGGAGCCTCAGTACTCACTGAATTTGTTTGAAAGAAAGTCTGAAACTTAAGGCCTCTATCTGGTTTTTTGTTGTTGTTTTTACTTATCACAGGAGATGTTTTTATTTCATTCTGTTGCCACCTCAGTCTTATCTCACAAAGTGAGAATTGTTAGCCGGGCTCGGTGGCTCAACCTGTAATCCCACACCTTTGGGAGGCTGAGATGAGTGGATTGCCTGGGCCCATGGGTTCGAGACCCACCTGGGCAGCGAGACCTCATCTCTACAATTAATCAAAAAACAGCTGGGCGTGGTAGCGCATGCCTGTAATTCTGGCTACTCGGAGGGCTGAGGTGGAAGGATCGCCAGAGCCCAGCAGGCGAGGCTGTGGTCCCACGAGCAGCCACTGCACTCCAGTCTGGGGGACCGAGTGAGATTCCAACTCAAAAAAAAGTGAGAATTGTTTCCAGTACTGCAGATCTTGATAACAAACCAGCTGTGCAAAGAAGCACCTGCATCAGTTCACAAGTAAGATTTCAAAGAGGATACATGAGATGTCTAATCTCAGCTGATATCTGATACTTCAAGAAACTTATCCACATGGGCATGAAGGCTACAGATAACAGAATCAAGGACACTCGGGGCTAGGGTGCCCTTACATTTTGTAATACTAACCTGGATTGTTCTTAACCACCCCTTTTTAACATTCAATATACCAGAACAACGATGTTCAAAAGACAGGCTCCAAGCTGGCTACGTGCAAATCATCAGTTTTATAAAAATGTAGATTCCTGAGCCCACTTAAGACTGCTTCACAGGGACTGAAGTGAGGTCTGGAAATTAGTGTTTTGTTTTGCTTTGTTAAATGCTCTCTAGGGAACACTGATGTGGAGGTTCAATTGGAATCAACTTTACTAAGTTGCTCTTGACACAAGACCTGTGACCAAGATTTTTCTGGGTATAGTGAACTGCTCATTACCTTTTAATTCAGGGAAAATTCTCAGTAAAACTGCAAAAAGAACTCTTTTTCTTTCTTTTATTCTTATTACTATTATTTTTTGAGTCAGGGTCACTCTACTGCCCAGACTGGAGTGCAGTGGCATGATCACAACCCCACTGCAGCCACAACCTCCTGGGCTCAGGCCATTCATCTGCCTCAGCCTCTGGAGTAGCTGGAACTACCAGTCTGTGCCACCATGCCCAGGGTATTTATTTTTTATTTTTTCATAGAGACGAGGTCTCACTATGTTACCCTGCTAGACTCAAACTCCTGGGCTCAAGTGATTTTTCTTGCCTCAGTCTCCCAAAGTGCTGGGATTACAGGTATGAGTCACTGTACCTGACCAGCAACTCTTTTCTTAAGTTAAAAAAAAAGAGAAATCCTGGTTTTCCATTCAAGCTCTAGCCTTGTGGAACCCATCACCATATGGCTGGCCCTCCATGTGTAAACTGCACAGCCCTTAGTCTGACTCTGGCTTCACTTGTGACTTCAGCCTCTGCCACCATGGATCTCTGCAACTGCACCAGAATCCGGACATCTTTGATTTCCACATGGGCCTCCTGGATCCTCCACAGCTTTGTGGTATCATCAAGTAATTGTCTGTTTCCAAATCAAAAGAAAACAGCGGTCGGAAGACAGGTGTGATATGATGTAAGTTTCTGATATGTTTTATACTCACGAGATAAATAATTTTTTTTCTTTTGAGTTGGGATCTCACTCTGTTGCTCAGACTGGAGTGCAGTGGCATGATCACAGCTCACTACAGCCTCCACCTCCTGAACTTAAGTACCCTTCTAGCACAGCCTCCCCAGTAACCGGGCATGCATCACCACGTCCAGCTAATTTTTTGTAGAGACAGGGTCTCACTATGTTGCCCAGGCTAGGCTTGAACTCCTGGGCTCAAGCAATCCACTCACCTCAGCCTCCCAAAGTGCTGGGGTTATAGGGTTATAGGCATGAGCCACCACACCCAGGCTTTTTTTTTTCCATTTGGAGTAAGGTTGGGAAGGAAATAAGAATTCACTTTCTTATCATTATTAAGAATGTAAAGTGAATCTCATGAAGAATCCAGGAACAAATTTTGACAGATCTTTCAGTGAGCATCTACCAGCAGTATCCACTCCTAAATGATCCCAAAGGAAATATATGATATCCATCTAAATTTGAGCAAATATCCCAAGTTTGCTTGTCACCGATTTCAAGTAGAGATCAATGCATGGGCTTCTCAGACAGACCTCAATTTTGTTCTGGCTCTGCCATTTGCAGCTGTGAATTATTGGCTCAGTTTCTAAACTTCTCTGGTTCTCAGTTTCCTTACCTATAAAATTTTCCATTCAGGATTGTCATGAGATTCGGAGACTTTATATATATATCTCAGTACCCAGGAATGACTCAATGACTATTATTTTTGTGATATTGTGTGTCTATTTGACATCTTCCCTATGACCAGTTTTAAATAAGTAGCAAGGCATATTTTTTTGGAGCGGAATCAATCTAAAGTCAAAATGGAAATAATAGACACAGGGACACCAAAAGTGGGAAGGCAGGACAGGGGACAAAGGGTTCAGAATTTACCTAATGGGTATAATTTTCACTATCTGAAGAATGGGTGACCTGAAACCCAATCCCCTCCAGTACGCAATATGCCCATATAACAAACATGTGCTTGTTCCCCTTGAATCTAAAATAAAATTTTAAATGTAAAAAAAAAGATACCAAAAATATTATTTCCCTTTGTTAAAGCTTAAAACCATTGAAGACATCTTGCTGGTTGTTGGTTATTTTGAAGAGGAAGAATGCCTTGAGAAACAGTGAGATCAGAAGGGCAGTTCCTCTAAAAATAATGGGGCAGAAATCTATGCTACCAAATGGCCAGTGACCCCCTGTATTTCTGTGATCCCTGCAGGACCCCAAGAGATGGTGAGAGCTCACAAGAAGTAAGTGATCTGGCTACAGATTGGAAATTTTTGAGTTGTCAAATTCATGGGGTTCTAACAAATGATATGGGGAGCTATTACACAGAACTGACAGTACCTCAGAAAAGCTGAGTGCCTTTGCTCTACAGAAATCTTTAACATGCACCCTACAACAGAAGAAAGAAAGAAAGAAAGAAAGAAAGAAAGAAAGAAAGAAAGAAAGAAAGAAAGAAAGAAAGAAAGAGGGATGGAGGGAGGGAAGGAAGGAAGGAAAGAAGGAAGGAAGGAAGGAAGGAAAGAAAGAAAGAAAGAAAGAAAGAAAGAAAGAAAGAAAGAAAGAAAGAAAGAAAGAAAGAAAGAAAGAAAGAAAGAAAGAAAGAAAGAAAGAAAGAAAGAAAGAAAGAAGGGAGGGAGAAAGGAAGTTACTCAAACCTTCCTAAAGGAAAAGGAGGTATCTTGGTCTTAGCAAGAAGACTATAAATGATGCCTGATCACCTGTGACTTAACATATCACAGGTTCTAATGGTATGAAAGGAACAGAGCCTATATGGAGTAAGAGAAGAGCTCTCATAGACTGCATGTTGCCACTATACCAGGAGCTCGGACCAGGCTCACAGAGGTTTCCTGGACCAGATGGGAGGTAAGGCACAGAAGGAGAGGTACAGATGGTACTGGAAATCACTCAACTGCCCTTATCCTGACTTTCCTCCTCAGCAAACTTTGATTGGAGTGCCTAAAAAGATATTTATTCAGGAAAAATAATGTGCTTATCATTGTGTCCTCTTTCAATTATGTATCAGATTAAAATTAATAAACTGAGATTAAAACATGTCAATCCATTTCACACATTTTTGAATATGAGTTAGTGTGCCTGGAAACATGGACATGCAAAACTACACAGTGAAAGCCCAAAACTCAAGTGTCCATCAACATAACTACAACTCTGGGAGCAGGATTTGTGTCGTCCCTTAACCTGTGTACATTAGGCCTCTCTGCCATCTCTCAACCTAAATGGATGTTTAAATCATGACACAAGTTATATTTCATAGAATAGCTACTTTATCTGAAAGTGATACTCAAAAGCCTCATCTTGCCTGGGTGCAGCAACTCACTCCTATAATCCTAGCAATTTGTGAGGCCAAGACAGGAAGACTGTTTGAGCCCAGGAGTTCAAGAGCAGCCTGGGCAACAAAGTGAGACCTCATCTCTAATACAGTAAAAAAAAATTTTAATGCCTTATCTTTCCCAAAAATGCATGAAATATTTCCTATCATTTCATGTGAAATATTCTGTAATATTTTAAGAGTTTGAATAGGTTATTTCTTAATAATAAATCATGAATACTCATGAAATAGATAAGAAAATGAATGCTAGGATATTAGAATGGATAGATATTTTAATTTTGTAACTTTTTTTTGTTAAATAACTTCTCTCTCACACACACCAAAGATGTCTACAAGTAGGTGTCAGATATTCTCTTAGTTCTTCCTGGTGTGTGGAGATTTAATTTTTGCATATATGTCTCACTAGTAAACATTTCTTTGCACTGACAATAAACTTTTAGATCATACATGCCTGGCAAACTTCAAATCTGCGAGTAATGAGTAAACAAACTTCACAGAAAATGCTTTCAACAAGATGTCACAAACACATCAGCATTTGCTCTTGCAGCATTCTTAGGGGATCACATTAAAACTATCATTAAGCCAGCATTTCCTAATGTGCATAGAATGGAAAACTTGCTTGGAGAAATTGTCATAGGAAATAGTAACAGTAATAGACCTTATAT